TATAAGTTAAAAAATACTTATTGATTATGAAATAGATGTCATTATCAAAATAATAACTTGCTCTATATTTAATTTTATCTGTAGAAATAATATTTCTTAAAAAATTATTTATTTATAAATTAACATTATTAAAATTATATTATTGAAGAGTGTCAAACATAAAACTAAAATAAATCTAATTTCTTTGAATTCTCAATATTCTTGGTCGGTTTTTCCCACTTTAGGTAAAATTTAAATGTGTTGATATAAAAGACTAATTGCCATATTAGATAATATGTTCAGAACGGTGTATTTTGATTGAAACATTTAATAACTAGAATGATTTGTTGTTCTTTTTAGATCTTGAGTCTTGTAGTAGTGTAAATACGTTTTTCTTAATTTTTTGTTGGTGGGTATACATCATTTGTTCATGTTTATCATCCTTTCCCACATTTTGTATTTTCTAGGGAGTGCCTAAATTTTTTATTTAGTAAGAAAAGCTACAAAGATTTAGTAAGACATTTGAAGGATTGATATGTTTAAACTTATTTATGTATATGACTCACTTTGTCATTAGTGTTATAAGCTTATCCTTTTAAACTATATTTGGTGTGGCATGTAGCATTTCTTATGGCGTGAGTTCCCTGATCTTATTTTTTTTTTTAATTTCAGCCCCCTTAACCTCTTTTCCTGGCTCCGATCCTGCACATGAGCATGACGGTGGGGTGGAGGTAATGCCCGGCAGAAGCTAAACAGAGATGGATGGAGCTGGTCTTAATTGTAGAGAGAAATATTTGTTGAAGGTCAACGATTTTTGCATCGTGATTCATGAATAAGAGGGGGGTTATTTTTTTGGTATATAAATTGAGTATAGGCAAAGGCAACATCTCTCTACCTTCGGTTGGCAATACAAATTAATATTTACATTACATTATTTTGAAGATAAGATAGGAAAGTCTTCTAGGCGATTAAATTAAGATTTTTAGTAGAATTTGATAAAAAAATAATGAAATCAACGTGTGGTTTTGTTAGCGGAAAAAAAAAAAAAAAGTAGTTTTGTTAGGTGTGATACAGAATAAGAAACTGAAATTTCCAGCCTGCCTACCTGGTAGATTAGATTACTTGTAGTGTTTGTCTTTCTTATTTTCCAAGTTTCTTTCCTTCTTTCATTTATGCCTGTTTGATTATCGTTAAAATGAATTTTTAGGATAAAATGAATTTTGAAATGTGATGTTTGGAGAATATGTGATTAAAAAGTAAAAAAAAAAAAAAATTGAATTTACGTTCAAAATATTTTATGTGAGGATGCACAATTGAAAATAAGTTTGAGAAAAAATATAAATTGTTCCAATGGTCAAACATTGATATTTTATACGCAATTCTTGGACAAGTTTTTTAATATAAAGAATAGTATAATCCTATTTGCAGCCTGCCTTGGAAAAAAAGCTAGAAATCCCATTATAAATATTTCTTCCCCTTCCCCAAATCAGTCAGTCGGATCAATTTAGCAACATGGAATCACTGCCCAAAGAATATGGTTACGTGGCTATTGTTTTAGTCCTTTACTGCTTTCTCAATTTCTGGATGGCTGCTCAAGTTGGCGCTGCCCGCAAAAAGTACGTTTCTTTTTTCTCATTTTGTCTATTTTTTGGGGGGCCAAAAGTAAAACCCAGTGAAAATTTTATGCAAAATTCATCGCAGATACAAAGTGTTCTACCCAACAATGTATGCTACAGAAGCTGAGAATAAGGACGCCAACCTCTTTAACTGTGTTCAGGTACCATTGATTTTTGTTTCCCTTTGATTCTATTTGGAATTGTTATTGATTTTGTTGATTCTTACAGAGAGGGCACCAGCATTCATTGGAAATGATGCCAATGTTCTTCATGTTGATGATACTGGGGGGAATTAGGCATCCTCTGATTTGCGCATCACTTGGATTTGTTTACATCATTGCTCGCTTTTTCTATTTCAAAGGTTATTCCACCGGTGATCCCCAGAAGCGGTTTACCATTGGGTCAGTCACTCTTCCACGTTTATATTTACCCAACTTTTTCTTCTCTTGGTATACGCATCACTATGGGCGTCAAAAGTGTGTGATAACGTGTGATTGTATTTTTGAGAATTAGACCATAGAGAGAAAAATTAACACTCAAGAAGATTCGCATCGACGTGAGACTAAGTCCTCTTCCGTCAATACAATAATTCACTATGATTAAAAAAAGTTTATAAAAGAAATTCGCACGTTTTATCTTTTCTAATCTTTCTCTTTTATAATAGAAATTCAAAAACCTAACGATGACTGTTACGTAGTATGTACATATATTATGTTGTTTTCACATTACTAAGAGAGATGCTCAAAAGACAGCCACATCCACATATGTTTCATGGGTGTTGGACTTCCTAGTCTCCCGTACTGGAACTCTTAAAGCATCATCACTCAATACAGGACATGGTATATAAATACTGTATAGCAAAGACCCCATAATATTGAAGTTGTTTTGAATTTTGTTGGATGCAGGAGGTACGGTTTCGTGGCATTTTCGGGCCTAATGATTTGCACAATTTCGTTTGGAGTCAATATGCTAATTGCATAAACAAGGTTGAGCCTGCATATGCACAGAAGGGTGTTGTTTTCTTGAGATTTTGCTGTCTGTCGAATTTTATTTTACATCTCGACCTTTGCCACCCTCCTTATGTTTGTTGAAAAAACTACTTGGGGTTTGTAATAATCTTATTATAGTCCCTAAGGAGCAGTTATGTAGTAATAGTTCTCTTTTCATCTTTTACCCAACCTTGTCTATGTAAGTGTTACAATTTAACAAAATAAGACCAAATGAATAGAGGATACGCCAAAACCTAAATGAGCCTATATAAATTGCACGTTTAGAATATGATTGGTACGTTGGACTAGACATACTTTACGTGAGATACTACAAAGAAAAATGATACAAATAATGAAAGAAAGATGCAATTTTTTTTCCATTAGTATATCTTTTACGCTATGTTTGAGAAATATTATAAGTTACTTATAATTAAATCAAAGTCAAGCTTTTATTTTAATCACACATTCACAACTATTATTCATTGGGTCTAACGAAACTCAAACACACACTTTGAAGTGGTGGAAGTATTTGCAGGGTCGATGGTAGGAAAATTTAATTTTGGACTTTGACTAAAATTTTAATAAGTTTTTAGTTGAACCAAACAGGGAATAAGACAAAAAAAGTTATTTTTCATTACGATTGTACTACATGTACATAATTATTAATATAATGGTTTACTGTTTTCATCCACATGATGTGACGAAATATAATTGTGCAAGAATTTCCTACTCTCTTTTTGACAACCTATTTATACGTAAACTATTATATAATTCCATTATGTACAAATAGTATTATTCATATCATTTTTATATGTTCTCATTTAATATCGAAACTTCTCTTAAAATAATCAATAAACACGTACAGTTGAATATCTCTTTCATAAAATTACTCCCAAATGTCATAGTTTGATCATTGAGATCTCTTTTCTCCACCCACTCATCCTCAATAGGTGTTAGATATATTTGTAAATTTACAAATTCTCTTATGTTAGATCCATGCCTCTTCTCAAACTATTTGGATCATATTTTTTGAGTTTATTGTCTGAAATTCTTCTTACCCTTCTAATCTGTGGTGAAATTGACAACATATTCTTCAAACTGATTGAGCTGCACATCGTACAAGAATCGGATAGAACCTAACAGCGCCTTCCCCCATGGACTTCTGTGATTAGATTAAACAAAAGAATATGTAGAAAGAATTGGTTCTGAAACTCGATGAAGTAATCAATCATCTATTAAAGCAGATATCATAACCAATAACCAGTAATAGAATGAAGAAAAATTATGATCATGATACATAATAGAAATAAAAAGAAAAATATGACATCCTCCAAGCTGGATGGGGCATAATTAATATGAAGAATAAATCAAATTTAAAACCTAAATCTAAATTTGCAGTTACTCTCTCTAATTCTAATTACATTATCTGCAGATAAAGTGTCTACCACCAGCCTGCATCTCACCAACAACTTCCATTTCATCAGTTTCAGTTTTCCAAGCTTCAGCCTCACCGGAACCTTGGCTCGAAGCCTCAAAGGAATATTTCCCGTCTGCTGTTGCGCCTGCAATGACTGAAGTAATCTGTTTGCATCCTGCGTCTGCCCCATCAAGGTAAGGTTCAACAAGGTGGTATTCTGGTGGCCTTGGTAAAATTTTGGCAAGGAACCTTCACAAAGTTTTGTTCCAGTGTACCATACACTAAGATGGCTTCCACCTTCATAGTATATACCTATCTTTTTGTTAGGATTTCTTGCAGTGATATTGACGTTGAACGTCGCAGAGAGACTGTTATCATTGCCGAGATTGAATTGAGTTATTCTCATGGCATCTACCGAGTATTTTGGTATTTTTGGTTGGAATACAAAGTATATGATTGCAGCCAAAATCCCAATGATTAGTATTTGTAGTAGGAGAAGGGATATGGTCCAACACAAGCACTTTCTACAGCAGCTTTTCCTTGGTGGTGGTTTTGAAGGTGCATACGGGATAGTCCGGCGGAATGGTGGATACTGTTCTGCCGGATCGCCTTTATCTGACCGGAAAGAACCTCGGGGAACCAACGGAGCAGTGGTGGTCTGTGGTGCTGCCGCCTCGGGGTCCTGAACCGGATGAATTCTTTGATGATCTGCCATTGAGAGAGAGTTCACAACAAGACCAAGAGGGCATACCAAAGAAAAGAAACACCAGAAAGAAATGAATCCCTCTTGTTTTGTTTCTATTTTTCCTTCTATAAGAGGACTGGACCAAACATTTGGTTTATATAAAGACAGAAATGAATCCCTCTGTGTGCACACAAAGTCAGATTAATGGTTCTCTGTGTGCACACAAAGTCAGATTAATGGTTCTGTTGAAGCTTTCGTTATTTTATCCAGTGACAATATCTTAATAAAAAATTATTAATAAAAGTGCACCAAATAAATAACAAAGACTTTTGGGTACCTGGGCCCCCTTTTAACTTAGATTTTTTTTTTTTTTTTTNGTGCAAAGTTTATTTGAGGAAGCATGGACAGAGATTGACAGGCAATAAAGATACCCTTATACAACGGATTAAGGAGCGGTTTCGAGTAATTTTTCCTCTCTATTATTTGAGCCTCTAATTTATTGATTTTTGTATTTATTAAGCTTCTTAAATTTGATGTAATTAAAACTTAACACGAATATTTTTTATATATATATTCTATTAAGTAGTCAATTACACCACGGGCACGTACATCTAACTAGTGGTTTTTATAAAGACAGAAATGAATCCCTCCGTGCGCACACAGTCTGGTTAATGGTTCAGTTGAAGCTTCCTTATTTTGACCTAACAAGGACTTTTGGGTACCCGGGCCGCATTTTAACTTAATTTTTTTTTAAAAAATATTAGAAGATTCCAATGTTAAATTTTGAGCAGTTCAAATATCATTTTCCAGTTCGTGAGTTGAGTCGAAGAGTATTTTGGTAGACATTGTTGTTTGATTGTTGTCTTTCGAGGCATTGGCAGGTTGCCAACTGCTATGTTCCTTCAATTAACTTGGAATTTTGTGAGTGATTTTGACAAGAAAATAAGATTAGTTCAACTCTCAATTTCTTGAAAAAAATAAAAAAATTACTGATTTTCACAGAAAATGTCCTTGTGGAATTAGAAACGGGAGAAGAACGCGCACAATAGAGGTAGGAAGGAAATGGACGGCTGCCACAGTAGGGGCCACTTTCGCAAGAAAAATGTCCAAATGGGGACGTCAATGTCAATAATTAAACGTTCAGTCCTGATTCTGAAGTACCACCTTAGGATAAGGACCATTTCTCTCAATTAGCCTATGTACTGCCGTCCTTGGTAGACCAATTCGCAATACAAAATCAACTCGTTATTGGGGGAAGAACAATTCTACTTCTAGAGGTAAAAACATTAATCAACTTATTACAAATATTTCGTTAGAAAGACTAACACCATTTAATTAAACGATCAAACTGAAATAATTGACAAACTTTAATGCAATTTTACAACAAAATAAAATTCATAATTAATAATTTAATATAAGTGCATCACGTTTTAATTTCGTTTACTAATTGTCATACCTAAATCCCCAACTCTTTTTTATCGCAATCTTATCCTCAACCTCTATTGA